TGAATATGTGGAGGTATTTCTTTGAAAGTCACAAGATGGTTAAAAAACTTTTGCTAGAATCGTTTAACGTTTTTTTTTTTTGTTGGGTAAAGGAACAGGTTCTTATTTAACGCTAAGAATTAAAATGTAGAAACGGAATATTTACATTTGAATAATCATGAGCTTAAAAGTTTTTATGGTAAAGCACTTTATACATTTTTTTGTATTATCATTAAATGATTTTTAATTAACTTAACTTAAATAACGAAGTTATTCTAGTTAAAAAGCTCGCTTAAAATTATTTTATTTTGTAGAGGATTCTTCTCTCTTAATCCTTGATTAGTTTTTTGTTTGTTTATATTTTTTTTAATATAAAAAAGTAATAATAAATTGTGCATAATCCAACAACTTGTTCCCTTTTCTTGTTACCCATTTCAACTTTTTTATCCTTGCCATTTGGCCACTAATCCGATTCCTGTTCAAATCTGCAACTCGGCTGGTTTGTTGTTTGTTTAGGCGTGGGAAAAGGAAAATGGGAAAATGGGGGGAAAGAGAAAGCAGAAGAAAGAGGAGGCAAGACACGATGTGTCACCAATCATTTGTCATATCAAAGTGCCACATATGCGAGGTGGTGTGAGTGTGCGAGTGCGAGTGTGTTGAAAGGAAGACATGATAAAATGGCCGCTTAGGCACTGTCAGCGGTACAAATGCAAATACACAGACACATCACACACACACACACTGACAAATGGGACAGTGACGAGCAACAAATGTTGTCATGTAAATGTCTTCATTTTTTCAGCTCCATGGGTTTATTTTCCGCACCCTCTACCATTTTCCTCCCTCTTCTTTCTATTCACCTCCACACACATCGATGCCTATCAATCATATGCAAATAAGCGATTTAAGCCAGCCCCGTCTAATTGCCATCGATTAGAGAAAAAAGAGGTGGTGGGCATTCTGTATTTTTACACCCCTCAAAACGATTTGCGCCGAATCAACATCAGTCAACTCGACTTGTTAATTGTCCAGCATTGCCATCAATTTAATTTACAATCTCTAATTATGCGCCAGCAATTTGTATTTGCCTTTGCCTTCTCCTTCGCCCCCTTTCGAGCACTTAATTGAAATGCTCTTTGATAAATATTGTATATATTTCAATCGTGTAACATGTTTATCTCTGGCGATTTTGTTGATTGTCTAATAATATGTTAACTAGACTGAACTAGTTTGAGATTTGGTTTAGGTTAGCTTAATTAAAGAATTTTGTTGTCTCCCATAGAAAGAGAAAACTAAAGAAAATGTTAACGAATTTAAAATTTTTAAGAATTATAAGAAATATATTTTAGGATCTCAGAAACAAAATTTTGATACATTTATTTTAAATTATTTAAGATTGCTTTCCCTTCAGTAAAGAAATATATTTATATCTTAAGTACAACATTTTAATTTAATGAAATAATATACTACTTATAATTTTAAATATTAAAGTTAAAGGAATTTATAGTCTCCCATATTATGTCTGAGTTTATTTACTTTTATTTATGAGTTATAACTTATTTTAGTATTTTTTTTTAGTTTCCCAGGTCATTAATTCAACTTGATCTAAAGTATTATTTGCCATTATTGACTTTGATTTGATTCGATTTGATTGATTTATCGCCGATAAGACCTCTCCGCCTTAAGTTTTATATTTTGCTCAATTTCGATTCGATTTGATTTGATTGCATTTGCGATAAGCCGACTAACAGCCCCCTGCACTTTTCTGTTTCTGTTTATATTTATATTTCTGTTTCTTTTGCTTTAATGTCTTACTTACTGATTTTTGCCTAGTATTTTGCCTTCGATATCGGAGCATTTGAGAGCCATTGTTTTCTAGCTTTTCAGCTACCGTTGATAGTGGTTCTTTGATGGAGTGCCCGACTGGGTGGGACTTTTATTGATGACACTACTTAGATAGCCACTTGTCGTCAGCGACGAGACATTGCGTAATTTTCGTATTCGTATGCGCATTCGCCGGTCGTCGTAGTCGCAGTTTGATTGCCGTTGATTAATTGCCGGTTGATATCGGTCGAAAATGTCGGAGCGTCGGAGGTTTCCGTGTAATTTTGGGTTTAAATTCCAATGGAGAAGCGGATCTGCACTAATTGCCAAAAACGCCCCAGCGTGTCGGCCATCCGAGGCATTCATCTTGCCACAATTTCCACATTTTCCGCAGTTTTCCCTCGCTCTCTTTGGCACATTCTCGCCCACCCTCGCCTCCTGTTTTCTTCCTCTCCGCTTTATTGACATTGCCGTGCGCAAATATTTGGGATGAGCCGGAAAGGTGTCGACCACAAAACACTTGGGAAACTCGTGCGAAGAAAAGCTGAATCGAATGGATATCGGGTATACCTCTTAGTTTGATTTGGATTTTATCATTTATTCCTAAATACTTAAATTTCTAACGTTTTAAAAATTAATAAATCACTTGATTTGGATTGGATAAAAATTGATATATTTTTAGAATTTCGAATGATAAGAATAAAATATTTTTATCAAAAAGGGAAAACAACTTTAAATTGATTTTTATAAAATGTGAGAAAAAATGCTTAAATGTTTTCATTTGCTTTTTATGATTGTGGTTACCCGTAAAAGTAAAAAATCACTATATTTTGATGTGTTAAATATTGAAATATTGTTAGAGTCCCAAAAAGTCCTTATCCCCAAAATGTACATATAATTATGGGCTAATTTAAACTGATATACCCTTTTTATTTGATGTACTTTTATATATATTTGACAAAGAACCAAGAGGGTCGGTGAATGTGTTGAGTATTTGTCAAATATACATATTCACACATAAACGTACTTATATAGGGACGAGTGTACCTGTGTAAGGGAATCCAGTCAATGAAGATTGGGGCGACTTTTTTACGGTTTCATAATCCAAAGGGAAACGCTTGAAGTTGTAACTAGACCGCGATATTTCGTGATACTCGCACCTTTCTGTGCTGCGATAGGTTGGGGCCCCGAAATTGGGTTCTACGGAGGGGTTTTTTCGACGTTTTCGACGCCCCTCGGGGCGAATGCCATTTGACATTTTTGCCACCCCCTCGAAATGCGTTTCGCGTTTCGTTTTCGCTTTCGTTTGTCTGCCACTGTGATTTGCCTTTTTGTCACATTAAATCTTGTTTATGATGCCTAAGAACTTTATTTCCGGTCGATTAAATTGTCATAATGGGTATGGCTGGGTATGTTCTTTTTTTTATTTTTGTTTCCGCTCTTCTTTTTTTTAACTTTTGAATTGTTTTTGGCCTTTTGCCATTTGCCTTTTACCTTTTCGTTTGTATTTAACCCTTTTTGAGCTTTTGCTGCCAGAAAAACTGGCGGAAAAGAAATAAAAAGTGTAATTTTGTGATTTGATAATGACACATTCTTTAGAAACTATCAAAACAAAGTTGTTGAAGCCTTTTAAGCATTGACAGTTTAATTTTACAATGTGTAAATCAAATAATAATTTTAAAATAATACTCATTTAACTTAATTTAATTTAATTACATATATTTAAAAGTGAGTTTGTTTTTTAAGTTGTTTACCAGGTTTTTATTAAGGTTTAAAGCTAACTAACGAAACTAACAAAACTAAAAACACTCTTCAAAATAGTGCAAAATGTTGAAGTATAAAAACATTAGTAAATAAAAAATTTAATTGTTATAGAAATAAAAAGGCAGCTCTAAAAATGTAACTAAATCCGTGGAGAAACCTGAATTGACTGCGATGAGAATTGTCGATTTCTCTCTCCCAGCTTTGGCTTCTTCTTCTGATTTTCCTGCTGCTTCTGTGTTTCGGTTTCAGTTTATGTTTGGGGTCCTGTTTCCGTTTCCGTTTCCTCGGAAGCGTCAGAATGCTTCATTTGCTGCAATTCGTGCATCAAATTTGAGTGTGCACTTTTGCAGCTATATTATGTACTATATATGCTCTTCGATCCGGCCAAAATCACCCGAAACTACCCGTCGCCATAATCATTCGGCCGGCAATGTTTTAATTAAACGAAATTGCTTGTATCCCATTGATGGCTTAATACGGGTCACATGTACGCCTATCGGTGTACACGGGCGAGTGTGAGTGCCATTGTGTGTCTGTGTGTGTGTGTGTGTGGACCAGTGTGTGTGTGTGTGTCTGAAATATTCACTTAAGCGAACAGCAAGGAGGACACCAGGAGCACCAGGAGCAGCCAATTAATTTGGTGACAATGCGAAACAGCAGCGGCAAATTAACGAATTGGAAAAATCAACAAACAAAACATTCTGGCTGACATACAACATCTAACATACATAACATGAAACTAAACGGACACACAGATGCATCGTATCAGCAGGCAGACACTCAACTAAATTAGTAAATCATAATGGAGGCTTCAGCTGTTTCAATGTGAATTAAGCACAAAATTCGGTCTACTCTACACAAGAAAAATAAATGGAATTTAACGAGAATATATTGTAATTTATTTGGTCTCAACATAAACTAAATAAATAGTCTTATTTAATAAATAATTTAATTTAAATATATAATGTATAATATATAATATTATATTATTGTGGTAGCTTATTTAAATTTGTTTATTTGTACGTATATTGAAACTCATTTACATTCTTTGTGTGTATTAAATATATCCATTCGGAAATGGAAATCCAGCTTTTCGTTTGACTTAAAAATGTCAGTGGCAGAAATTTATTTGGGCGTGAATATTTTTATGATTCCTGAACAACTTTTGCTGCAAGTAAATCATTAAAAACAATTAAATATTTACGCCCATTATTTTGTGAAAATATAACTATCAAATATATTTTAAAATTAACTTTTAATAAGCTATGGAGAAAAGCTATGATATATTTAAGGTTTTTATTGAAAATTCTTTGAATTTTAAAATTGGTTTTTTTTACTTCCACCGAAAAAATAAAAAGAATTAAAAAATATAGATCACTATTAGGTAAATAAATATAAATAATATTCTGATGCTTTCTTCTTCTGTTTTGCAGGCGAGCTTGTGAACAATTTCCAATACTACAGGTGAGTTTTGACATTAAGAATACAAGCGAATTGCTTCGAGAGAAGCCAACAAAATCAACAAAACGCCTCGGCCATTCATAATTTATGCATATGAACCATGAATTTTCCGTGAATTTTGCAAAGAGCGGAGCCTGCGATGATAAGATAAACTTCTACACTCTTCGCTGCCTTTTGTTGTGCGTGTGTATTGTATACTTGGGGCATTGTTGTAATGCCATAACAATCAAGTGAAATTACGCTAAATGACACGCTCATTACGGCCCTTCGTTTTTAGGGGTGGTTACTTGGCAGCAAACCGAAAATCATTGCCTACTTATGAGCGCCTCGAACGAAATGAAACGAAACAAACGAAGGGGGTTGCGTTGCCCATTTATTATTTAAATAAAAACATACAAATAAGCGCTTGAAAAACGCTTTATAACACTTTCGCTCGCACAGCCGTGTATTTGCATATAAAATAAACGAACAAAAAAAATGTTCATTATGTTTGTCAAATGAACAATAAATGTCAATGCCCGCCGCCTCTCAGCTGCTATTCTTTATTTTCCCATTGTTTGTTTGCTAACAAAAAAACAGCGAAAAAGGAGGAAAATTTGAGGAGAATCTGTGACAACGCTTTAAACGGTTTTATTGGCTTTTCAAATTGGCCAAAGGCCAAGAATATTGTACATAAACCGGCAGCAAAATTTATATTACGCAAAATATGCCAAGGCGGGCAAACTTTGCTTTGACCAGAAGCTTTTGAAGTTTTTCTCACCAAAGTCCCTTTCTCTGCTTTCTCCCCTTCCCCTTCCCACTTTCACCTCCAATTTCTCCTGGCTCCTGTTGCTGGCAGAGAAAGTGAAAGTAAAGTGTAATTAGGTTTGTTTTGCGTGGCTGCTGTCTGCAAATGAAATGCCTGATGGAGAAGGCAACGGAGGAGGCTTTGCTGCTTATTATTATCATTATTATTATTATTATTATGACCCCCGTCCATCAAATTTAAATCAGACATTGGCCAAATATCTTAAATAATAAAGGAGACGTGCCAAATACCAATTGGACATAGGAATCTCATTTATTTCACTAGGAAAATTTACTCAATATACAAATTATCACAGACAACAAATAAAATAATCCCAAATGGTGGCCACCTTTTATTATTTTATTATTTCATTAAATAATCTTAGTTGTTTAAATATTTTATTTTTTTATTATTATTGATTTTTTTTAAATATATTAAGACTTTAACTAAAAATGCTTCAAATATAAATTTATTTTTATAATAAAAGAAACACCAAAGAGACTAGATAAATAATAATATTACCATTGATTTAACAGAGTATTTATTTCTATTCTAGTTATTAACTTTAAGACATTACCAAATATATGCCCCGTAAAAACATTAAGCAAATAAACATGTATATTTTATAATACCCTAAATATATTACTTAATCGCCTTGGGTGAATCGCAGGCCTTTGATTGAACCAAGAACCCAAGACCGGTGACAACCTATTCACGCTATCGTTCAGATATAGATAAAGAAAGACATCAACAAATATTGAAATCCAGCGATGGCTCACCATTGTCTGTTTGTTGATGGCCAAGTGTCGACTGACGACTGCCGACTGTTATCGGCCATAAATATAAGTAAGCACTCATTGCGCCTTCGATACCATCAAAGGGTATTAAAATCCAAGACCCGAAACAAAGGCACAATGCCGCCGCCCCCTTGCGAAATATAAATATATATGGGGAAAAAGGGGAAATTGCCATTCAACCGAGTCAGTCAGTCAGTTAATATTGAGTGAGCATTTAATCTGTTAATAAGCATTTTATATGCCAAAATAATTTGATTTGCATGTTGGGGCCCCCGCAATGGATGTCGATTTATGTCACGAGGCCCACAGGCGGAGGAAAATGGTGTCATGCTTGAGTTCATGTAATTAACACGGCGACGGAGTTTACGGCGGGATCACAATTTTCTTATGTGGCTGACGGAACACTTGACGACGCTGCCTTATTACCGTATAACACTCATTTTCATGGGCTTCGACTATTATCATCGCCCTTTATAGAGTGTTTGAGTATTGAGTTCATTGGCTCCACAAGCCAGTGAACAGATACTGATAGATGATTTAAGAGATGTATTCAAATATCTGTTATACATTTTTTATATATTTTAGTTTTATTTTTAAAGGTGTGGAACCTTACTAGTTATAGTACTGATATTAGGCTCTTATAATTTTTTTAAATATAATAAAAAGATTATAATTGGATATATATTTCCAGAGTGGTTTTGTTTTTTATAACTATTATTCAAATTGTTTTCTTTATATTATTTATTTGTTTTTTATTGGCCTTCTCTAAAACATCGTTTATAATAACAAAACCTGAAATCTGATTGATTTATTTCAAGAGGCCGAAAGAAACTCGAGGTTAAATGTTGCCAAGCAATAGGAATCTTCAAAAACCAACAAGTCTAAGGTCCATATTACTGCTTTATTAACCAGCAAGTGGAATTGATGAAATGGACACGATACAAAACGAAAAAAAAAAAAACAAAACAAAAAAAAAACGACCTGGACATGTGTGGGCTCAGCAATTTCCGATGAAAGCTGTTTTATTTGAGAGTTAAGCCGACCCCAAAAACCCAATAGGATTGTCATCTGCATGCCAAAAACTGACTGATTGAATGACTGACTGACTGAATGACTAACTGACTAACTCACCAACTGAGTGAGTACTTAAAGCAATGGCAAACATTAGCATAAAGCTGGGCTATCATTTCTAAGTGCGTTCCTTGTTGTTGCCATGTCTAGTGTTTCTCCAGCTTTTCCTTTCTCAATTTTCCATTTTCTTGCTGTTGCTTTGCCTGTTATTTTAGCTGTTGTTGCTGCTTAGCTGTGATGTGGAGTGTGGGAGTGTGGGGAATAAGGTAAATATCAGCTGGCACACGAGGACAGTCAGCCAGCCAGCCAGCAGCGAGAAGCCACGAAAGCGTCCTCGTCCTCGGCGGCGTCCTCGCTAAATCACAGGTGTGCAACAATGGCCACAGAAGCGCCAGCAACAACAAGAACAACAGCAACAAAAACAACAAGAGCAGCCACAACACCAACACCGACCAAAAACCAAAAAGGATATTTGGTTTCGGGGGAACCAAGAAATACTCTAAAATTGGATTCTTAAACTTAAACATAGAAGCACTTAAGAGAACTAAAAAACTAAAAAAGGTAAATAAAAATACAAATTCACGAATAAAACTCCCACATATTTATATAGAATTACAAAAGTTAAAAAAAATAATAAAAAAAGTATTCACAAAATATTTAGTTTCTTTAGAATTTTAAATTAACTATTTTAATTATAGCCTAACAGAAAATTTCTAGCGATTCTTGATTAAAGAAAAACTATTCTCAAAAATTCAAAATGAAAATGATGAATTCAAATCAAATAATGATTTAATCTTAAACTAATTTTGTTTTTACTAAGTTCGCTTGAATTCGAATGTTAAGAATATTGTTCTGCATATAATCTGATGTATTTTTTAATCTTTTGGTAGAAGAGTGTTTTTAGAGAATTGCATTGTAATTAAAAAAAAAACTAGTTACTTATATTATTTAAATATTTAAATTTGTACCAATGAAAGGTTTAAGAAATGCTAAAAATTAATGGGATCCTTTAAAAGGGTATTGAAAGGCAGCAACAACAACACGGGCACGAGCATAAGGAGCATAACGTGTGAAACATAAGCAGGCAACTACTCTACCGCCCCCCGTCACCTCTCTCCCTCTCTCTCGCACTCTCGCTCATGCTCTCTCTTTCGCGCAGGCGTCAAGAGAGAGCGGTAAAAGCTTTAGATTTTCCGAAAATATTTTTTTCATATTATTTTGTTTTTTTTTTTGGCTAGTTTTCTTGAATTTTTTTTTTGTCAAGCATTTTATTTTAGTATGCATTCAACTTCCTTTTCGCCATTCTCAGCCTTGAAAGCTCAGGATGCGATGCGAAAGCTTTTCGGTCTTTCTCTCTCCCTCTCTTCTGGCGGCTCTCAGCTGACTGGATAACCGTTATACGCCTGGCTTTTCACGATTTTGAAAACGCTCGGTTCGTTCAGTTGTTGCTTCACTTCAGTTCTGTTCAGTTCGATTGAGTTTTGAAGCGGTTGGTCTCGAATAGATAGATTCCAGGAAAAGTGTTTTCCTGAAAACTGAAACTTAGAAAACAGTCATTCCGTGTTTTGTTTGCTTTCGTTTTGGGTCTATGTGTGTGTGTGTGTGTCTGTGCTGGAAATGATTTTAAAAATATTCTTAGTAAATGAACTTTTAACAATTTTTAAAGATTGTACGTTTTTCAAGCAGAAAAATTACTTTTTTAATTTCATTGAAACAAAGTATTTCCTGAGGACCTGTTGCTTCAAAAAATGTCATACGAAAATGTTTTAAGATTTCGAGTGTTCAAAATTTCAAATAAAGTTCCTAATGTTGCGCCCAAGACTGGTCGAAGACTCAAAACTGTGCTACTTAGCCATGGCGTATAACACCAGAAGAGCCACCAAGAGCCGGCTTTTAAAAACACATTTTTCAAATAAACTTTCTGTGAAGTTTTGCGATATACCCAAATGTATATTTCAAAAAGTTTGAATATATTTCTCAAAATTCCCTCAAAAGCCTTTGATTCCAATGAAGATATTTGAAAATCCTTCAAGCTCAACAGCCAGCTAAGCGAAAGCTTTTCGCACAGTTTGGTCTCTGCACTTAGGACACTTTCACTAGCCGCAGCTGTGAGCGAACTTTTCCACCTGCCGAGGCTCTCGGATTTCCCACTTCGGCTCGGAATCGCCGTTCGGCTTTTGGCTTCGGCTGGGCAAATCGGTCTCGGGTATTGGATAGTACGTTTTTGGGGTATGCAAACTCATTTTAGCTTTTGAACTCAGTCAGTTCAAATTTACCAGCGGATTTGTGCGGATTACAAAAACTATTCACACGCACACACGCGCGTACATCTCACATATATCAGTATCTCACACGAATACGAATCATCAAAGACATACAAACACACACCCACACACACACGCACATACAATTATTTACAAGGGAGCGGACCGAAGGTCCTTAAACGAAATCAAACAAAACAAAGCGTCGGAAAAAAAAAAAAAAAAATTAAAAATAAGAAAAATAAAAGTAAAATGATAATGGGAAATAATAATTGATATTGTCTGGCAAATCGTAGTTAAAATCGCAGGCATATCGGATACTCAAATTGTTCAATTTTTTTGCGAATTATTTTTTGGTGAAACCACAGTGCGTATGTGTAATATCTGAGCGAATTGAGTGCTAAAACAGAAAGTGTGCGAGACCACCAGCGGCATTATCATCGGCCGGAAGTCGGGCAAAAAGAGACAGAGATCATTGGCGGCAATCGAAATCTGCAGCAGAAACATTGATCAGAATCATTGATCTATCATAAGATCGAACAAAGCAAACAGGCAAGTGACCACGCTGCGTATGAGTAATATAATATTGCATCCAACAATGATATTACCACTCACTCTATGGCTATCGTTTTTATTTTTCCCTTCCCCTACTTTTTTTCTTTGGGTTTTTGTTTTGCTCGCTGGCTTTGTTGGCCCTTTGTTTGTTGGGGTTAAAGGCAAACAACAGAAATTAACAAAGGCGAGGGGCGCAAACACAAACGCAAACGAAAAAAGAAAAAAAAACGAGAGCAAGAAATTCAAGTCAAGTGCTGCGGTAGTTCTAGATTGTACTGAGTATATAGAATACATACTATATAGTATAGTATGGTATAGAATAGTATGTGTGTGGGATCTAGGTCTAGAACTAGGTCCTTTCGGCAGGCAAATCAATGCCAGTCATTTGAGAAACGTGCAAAGTCTAAGATATCCAAGTTTCGCCTGTTGTTTTAGTGCTTAAAACGTATAGGTACATGAACATTTATATATACTTAAATCTATAGTATCTCAAAGATAATT